AACTGCACTATGTAGAAAAGCAGAGAAGTTGGTAGAGATCCTGTATGGCAATCCTCTTCTCAGTTGAGGCATTGCTGTCTTATCCTTAAGCGATGATGTGTCTTTCCAAGTCTAGTCCTTATGCAAATAGGCACAATCAAGTGGATTGTGAATCTTTGGACATTTGGCTTAAAAATATCAGTGGGATTGTGAAAACTTGAATCTTCCATGCAAAAAACATTGTACCATACTTGGATTAAATGAAATTTTGTATATTTAAACAGACCAGTCACTGGTCTAACAAAACCTCATATTGATTTAAGTTCCTATTTTTTGTGGTGTCAAAATATATGGAATTTGATTCCCCTAGTACAAAGTGATATTTAATTAGAGGGATGCTACTGAATTCCTTAATCTGTACAAATTCTATGAAATGAGCCTAGAATTGGTAAATTTGTAGGAGCTAAGCTTGCAGGCTGATATGCCTGTAAATAAGTGGCTAGAACGCTGATAATATCCTGTTAACGAAGTACTGTCAGTGTTCATTTTGCTTTAATGTTTTAAATACTGCTTAAGGTATTAAGCATTATACTATGCTATACTAGCCAAATGGAATCAACGTTAACACTTTGAATTATTGTCAAATACTAAGTGACGGTATAACTATAGGTTTTAATTCAAATACCCGAGTGAATATATACTGCATTTTCAAGTGCATAAACAGCCTTTCTGATAACTGGCTGGTGTTTTTAGTGCATGAAGAATCCCTCTATACTTGCTGTTGGTTTTGAGTGTTTCTGTACAGAGAAATACAGCTAATAGTCTTTTAGGTAAAATGATTTACATGAGCATGTAATATTGATTAAGTCAGATTTACTGTGGGTAACTAACCCCCATCCCTTCCTTTAAAGTGCTGAAACAAATCAGGGGTTTTTTGTTTGTTTTGTTTCTAACACCCCTCACCCCGATGGCTTTAAAGTGTTGATTTTGTTTCCACATTTAAAACCGCAGCTAGTCAGCACTTAAGGCCTATACCATAGTTCTTAGAGGAGAAATCTGTCTCTGCTGGTCTCTATGGATATGTCAGTATAAACACCGTTTGTGGCTTCGAAAGAGAAACAAACTGTGAGGGTGAGGTAGGAGGGGATTAGGGTGATGTAGCGGAGTTTGTGCTAGTGCAGACTGTGCCAAGGCCAGGAAAACCACTCTGCGTTTGTCTTGGAAGATGCTGCTGCCGGCATTGCTTCAGCTGTGTAGCTTCTCTACAGGGCTGTGTGTAGTGCCATGCAGAGCTGCTCTGGGTAACTGACCTCGCCAACTGGCTTCATACCTTTATGTCTTCTGGATTTTTTGTGTGGTGTCACTGCTGGTTGTAGCTCAGCCCTACTGGGTACTGATCAGGCAGTATTTCAGTTTGGTGTTTTTAAGAGCAAAGACGAGCCTGTCAGGGATGAGGGGAAGGCCTTAAGAGCGCTGTCATCTCACCAAAAAATCTTCTGATCCGGATGACCTAGATAGATCAGGCGGTGCCATTTTCACTCTGCTGGGTCTTCCCTCTATTTCACTGTTCTCCGAAATAGCTCTGCTGCTGTTTTGCTCACTTTAATATTCTCTGTGAAGGCAAAGATCTTGATTGAATGAGTTACTTTAAGCATATGAGTAGGGATGATGTAGCTAAAACCTGAGAGGCCCAGCGGGGAGTTAGTGTTTTTGCAAATACTTAATTCAGTATATATTTATTTAGTTATTACCCCAGTAAGAAGATTAAGTTTGATATTAAAAACTTGTTCTGTGTGCACCAGGGTCAATAACACTTGACTTTCAGTGGTTTTGTAGGGTTTTCTCTCTCCTTCTCTCTCCTACAATATTCATCTTGTTATGTGTTCCTCCTGCAATTTCCACTGCCCTAGAGAACAAAGTGACTAGTTTAGCAGGCATGAATTAACTTGTCTGCCCAGCTGGCTGCTCCCAGAATAGGTGTGTGTGTCATCTTTTCTTATTTTGCCTCGGCAAACACCACTAAGCTGCTTATTTTTCTCAAACACATACAGGGATATGAGTTGGTAGGTCCAAAAGTTACTGGATGACAGTAGATTTATGCAGTTGTGACTTAGCAACTGTTGTCCAAGCTTCCTTACGAAAACGAGCTCAAAACTAATTGCAGAGTAACTCCTTGTCTGCATCTATGACTAAGCTGAGTTTCACCTGGGGAGTTAAGCTTTGCTCTGTGTAGTAGCATCTTACTGCTTGTACTGTAGTATTTTTTGTAGGAGGTGTGCTCTGAATTTAGGAAGAAAGTGGCACAAACTGTCCTTGTCTCCCCAGCTGATAAACTCAATTCCATGGATGGAACATTCAAAACATGAATGTTGTTTGCTTTCTGTTCTTTCTGAAGTCTGTTACTTGTTAGAAGTGTTTTTTCCAATAGTGTAATATTGTTTTATTGGAGTGCTATGTATTTTGTTCTGCCTTGCCAAAAGAAAGAAGGACTTGCTTGGACTGTAACGTGATTCCTTGCAGAAGTGGCCAACTTGTATAAATAGTATAAATTATCAATAGGTGTCTCTTGTTCAGAGATGTGCATGATCACAGCTTGTAAGAGTGAACTGTTTGGGAGCAAAATGTTTTAAAAGTTGGTGTTGGAGCTCAGACATTTAAATGACGTGTATTGCCTTGGTTGGGGCACGTTGCTTCCCAGTGAGGTGGAGACAGTTGTCTTTATTTCAGCCACTGCAAGCCTCCGGTGTCTCTAGAAACATGGGTTCTTCTGTGTTCCCCTTGATGCACTTGGGAGGAAGCTGCTTGAATTACTTGGGTATTTAACAAACAATTTAACACTGGGATTCACCAGTGACTTTTATACCTGATGGTCCTTGCACCAGAATTTCTGCAGCAGATGAGCCTAGGCTTATATTCTACTCTGCCAAACTCAACCTTTTATTCAACAGTATCTTTAAAAATACTAACTCAGAATTAGTTCGAGAAAGTAATTTTTTGAACAAAGAATAGAAATATTCTTCACTAGAAAGGTTATTTGTGTGTGTGTAGGAAATCGTGTACTACATTTCCTGCTTACTAAGCATAGATCCCCCAAATGGAGTTGCTTGCAGTCATAGAGGATCATCTGGTCCAGCCTTTTGTGGGAAAGAGCGCTTGGATGACACGATGTAGTGCCCTGTCCCGTCACATCTTGAAAACCTCTGGTGATGAGGACTCCACCATGCCCTTGGGGAGGTTGTTGCAGTGACTGATTGTCCTCACTGTAAAATATCTTTATTATATTGAGATGAAAACCTCCCCAGGAATCAGCATCTTCATACTCTTTGTGCTGTAATGGTACTGAGTGGAGGAGGTGGAGGTAAAAAAGGGCAATATACTATCTTTTACATACTGAAGTAGTTATGAGAATCTACCTAGTTTCATTTTTGAGTAAGACAAATTTAATAGTGAAGTTTGCTACTTTAAAGATGATTCTGTAGTGTAGTGGAGTGAAAATTCTTGGCTCCTCCATCCTCGGAAAGGAACACAAGTATAAAAAGAACAGAAGGAAATTATTTAAAAGAGTGAGTTTATGGGTCCAGCATGTGGGTCTGGTTGAACCCGTAAGAACAGATAATCTGAGCCTTTTCCTGAGTGCTGCTCGGGAGTGTTGTGGCAGTCTGTCTGCTCTTCCCTGCAAGCCCCACGGCCTTCCCGGTAGTGGCAGACTGCTGGCGTTTTTGTTTGTCATATGACTACACTTTTAAGAACTTTCTGACACATGCCAGTCATACTGGCTGATTGACATGCACTGGTCATGTGGCTGTGTGTTGTGACTGACTGGGTGTCTTTGACACGGCGGTTAACACCTCTGGCTTTTGTCACACGGCGGAGGTGTCCCTGGGCGTCTGCTGGGGGAGAAGCTGGGTTTGACCGCAGGTCAGGGTCTTTGTCAGAGGTTGCCTTGTCTGTCGTAGCTCAGATACAGCGATGCTCGCTTGGTAGCTTTACCTTAGCTGAAAAATATGTGACCTCCAAATCTTGGCTGTTAACTGCTCACTGGGATTTCCCATGTCTTCTAGGCAAAATAATTTATTTGTAAATAATTAAAAAAATTGATTGTACTTTCCTCTTTTGGCTTATGTTTACTTGTGAAACCTTGCCCTTCTTTCACTTCCCGAATTGTCACTCAGCAAGTGGCCGAAAATTGCAAAGGGGTGAAGTACATTTCCCGCTTCCTCCCCCCAGTGAAATAGTGCTATCTGCTCCCTTTCCTTCTTCCCAAAATTTTCTGTTTGAGAATTAAATACAAGTAACCTTTGTCCTGTGTTTTCCCCTTGTGGTATTACAACTGTACAGCATTCCTATACACTTTTGCTGTTGATATTTGGTAGCAATGACAATACAAGTACTGTGTGTTTGCTTTGTTCTCGTGGTTTGTAAGTTTTACATTGCATAAGTTAATTTTGCCAACTAACAGAATTACGTGATACGTGAGTAGCTGCTAAATACGCAATAGTTTGCAACCTAAGCTTTAGGCTATTTTCCCTATTGATTGTGCTCCAGTAATGTTTCTGGCCCCAGTGAGGATTGTGGTTGTGGCCCAGCTCTGCCAGATGCTGGAAGTACCTGGATGGCAGTTGTGCTCAGGTTTTTTTTCTCTGTGGTTTAATCTCTGCAGCTGTGGAAGGGAGGATGTAGTTGTTAATTAAAAGCAATCCTTGCATCTGATTTAGCTGAAATGAAATAAAATTCAGAAGAACAAATGAGCCTGAATCTAGTCTTTAATCATTTATCCATTCAGAGGAAATACTTTTGACACTAATTTCACTGAATAGTGATGCATTAGGAAGCACTGCCGAGATTGTGAGTGGGCTCTGTAACGGTGCAGCGACGTAGTCTATGCTGGTGATGAGATACATAGGATGAGTCATTTTCCAGCATAACTTCTGGTGATCTATGCAGCCTGATTAAATACTGGAATCTAGCAATGCAAAACTTTTAAAAAAATTTGTTTTATGTTCTGTCTCTGTCAGATACCGTGCTTATGTGGAAGCGCCCCATGCCTGCTCTGCCGATGCTGCCCCAGTGGAAACAACTCCACCATAACTCGGCTGATTTATGCATTCTTTTTACTACTTGGTGTGAGTGTTGCCTGTGTGATGTTAATACCAGGCATGGAAGAGCAGCTGAAGAAGGTCAGGTTACTTCTTTGCTAACGTGTTTGGTAGAACAAATGTCACAGATAATTGTAAATGACATGTTGAAAGGATGGGTTTTGTTTGGAAATATGTAATTGTGCTGCCACCTGTGCTTCACAGTCACCATTAATTTGATTGTAGATCAAATAAACAAAGAACTTGTGGGACAATCACTGTGCAGATGAAAAGCACTACTTAGAAATAAAGTTACATCCCTTTTTTTAACAGCTCAGAGCAGAAAAAAATACATTTTCTTGTTTGATACATAAATTAAAATCTTGTATGTGGAGTTTTAAATTATTATTGAGATACTTGTATTTGTGGCACTTAATTAATTTTGATTGCTGTTAATAAAAGAAAAAAAATAACCACAATATAAGATATCTTCTATTTTCACTGTGCTCTACTAGTTAAAATTCTATTTTAAAGTCTGCAAATGCATAACAAAAATATTTTTCACTAATGGTAGTAGCATATTTTTCACTAAGGAAATTAGGAAGTGCTTATAGGATTTTACAGTTCGTTAGTTACACGAAGATGTGATAATGCATGTAAAATCACAGAGTGCTTACTTGAATGATGGGAAAACTTATAGGTTTACTGAACTCTGATTGCGTGTGCTTTGATTCTGTTAGTCTTTGTTTTGCTGTCATTAATTTTTTTCTAGTAGATAGTAACTTCTGTTAGGCATGCCTGTGATCTTCTCCCCACATAGTTACTCATCTGTAAATGTTTATTTCAGTGTAGTATAGTAATCACATTAGAGCTTCAGTGAGAGCCATGTTAGTCACCTAGGAAAGAAAATTTCAGCCTTCTGGAGTATGATTTGACCTCAGAAAGATGTTGCTTATGTCCTGGTCTTGACTGGAAAGGATATTCCCGGCTGCTTCTTGTGGAGGTTACAGATAGTTCAAATTGATGGACTGTTTCTGTTTTAAAGAGACATAAGCAGGCTGCCTTCTCCTAGCTATGTCATGAACCTGATAGTAACTGTCAAGTCAAATTTACCAACTCCCAGATCTTTTATTTATCTCCTGATTCAGATCAACAAGTGAAAACTGTGTTCCGTTGGGAAGTTCTGAAATTGCTGATAACAAAAAGAACTCCCACTGCTAATAAGATTTGGTTTTGGTTTTGTTTAGAATTTGCCTATGCAGGATTTTTTTCGGTGAATGTGTTTAATATTCTGGTCGGACTGTAACTAACAATGCAGCTCTTCAGTATCGTATGTTTTAGAAATATTAATAGTTGCGTAATGTTACAATATTAATGAATTGTATATTAATAAATTGCTAATACTTATTTACTCACAGGAGGCCTTTTACAGATCACTGAAGTATCTTGTATTTATCACAGATTCCTGGATTTTGTGATGGAGGGCTGGGAACAACTATTCCTGGTGTGCACGGCCATGTGAATTGCGATGTACTGGTCGGTTACAAAGCCGTGTACCGTGTGTGCTTTGGTATGGCCATGTTCTTCCTTCTCTTCTCCTTGTTGATGATCAAAGTGAAGAGCAGCAATGACCCAAGAGCAGCGGTGCACAATGGGTAAGATACAGAAATGACAACTGAGATGAGCGGTGTGTGCATATGAAATACAGCTGCTGTGAAAAAAAAGCTGGTCACCTTTACTGTTCCACAGAGAATTTGCTAGTAGCTAGGAGTGTTGTTGCAGTAGAGGGCATTCAAAGTTTTTAGAGTTCTTGGACATGGCAGATTAATTTTGTAAGAGGAAAAGATACACGTGGCTGTCGCTTTTCAGAGCCTGAACTATAATAGTGGATAATCTGTCCAGAGGTTTCCCAAGATTAGAGATTCTGCTTTTGTCCAAAGACGACAAAATTCAGAGGTGAATAATAGTACTAAGTTCCATTCCACTGAAATTTTTTTTCAACAAATAGAAAGATTAAAAAAACCCTCATCTATCCTCTAGGAATTACATTCCTCTTAACTTTGATGTTTGTAAGGGCTTACTCTTTTCTGAACAGTTATATTTTAGATTGTAACAGTTATACATCTATATAGAGAGACATGTAACATACCTCTCCCCCCTCTGCTATGTATTTTTCGGCATCCCCTCTGCATAAAGAAGAGCGAGTTAGGTATTTAGTTTCTGAGCTTCCCAGTAAATTTTTCTTTTGTATTTCATTATAGTTAGGATTATCAGATGGAAGATAATAGTGGAATTTCAGCTTGTGGGTTGACACAAGTAGTTTTTATCCAGGCTCAGCCTACACGTAATGCAGCTTCTTGAGCCAAGGAGGTGTAAATATTTGCAATAGGGCATGGCACTAAAAAGCATAAAACTGTTTATGGCGCCTAGTCTTGGCGGTCACAGTGATTGCTTAGGCTGCTACTTTTCCAAGGCGATTATATTTAAGGGAAGGTATGAACAGCTAAGCCATAAAATGAAGAAATAATTTTATTTTATATTCAGTATAATAAGATTAAACAAACTTCAAATTATTTCTGTAGGGGAAAGGAAGATAATGAAGACTGAGCAGCATATTGTTTACTTCTATTGTTTACTTCTTTTGTTTGTTTCGGTCCAAAGAAAAAGGGGCTGGGTACGGTATTAAGAGGTGTTAGCAGCAGTAGCTCAGGTCAGCCTTTCCCTCCACCCTGCTTTGTTTGGGAGAGCATATTTGTTACAAGCAAGAAGAAATTGGATCAGGTACATTCTATAGCAACACTTTGTTGTTTTGTTTGGGTTGAGTTTTTTGGTTTGGTGTAGGGTGTGTTTTTTTTTTTTTTCTTTTAATTAAGAATAAAAGACACCTTTTAGATGATGTGAAATCTTTTTACGTAAAACCATTTCTTACGTGGTTGGGGTCTTCTTGATACCCTTATCTGGAGCTGTGCTCTTCAGTACAAATTTTTGTACTATTTATGCAACCCATAGCAGTTTACTTTTCTTAGCCAGTCTTGTGTCAGCACTCGGATAAAAGGAAAAATGATACTCGTTAACTGTTACTGGTACAATATTTAATAATGTTACTTCCAACACTGCGTTACAGGTAGCTTTACAGGTAGCTTTATGAGAACTGTGGCTTTTGATTTTTGAAATTGTGTGTATGCTCAGTAATACTTTGCATGTAATCTTTGTGTCAGTCATTTGGAATACTCAGAATATTGGGTTTTCCCATGTGTGTGTACTACCTCTTTCATATTTGCATGTAAGTTAAGCCCAGTAATGTGGTCCAGTGCCAATGTTCACCTTCTTTGTTTTTGTAACAGCAGTCAGAATGGTTTCTTTCCTGAGGTTAATAATAGAAAAAAATCAGTTATAATGTATTCAGAGGATTGTTGCTGGCTTGTACAGAGTGCATAGCAACTGTAGGTCTTATTTCAGATGAGTATTGGTTACGGCTGTCATGCGTGTTATATGGGCAGAGTGTTACAATACCTTAAAAGTCTGGAATTCGAGATGAAATTTATACAAACTTGAACCTGCTCTTATTTCTATAATCGAGAATGACATTGATTTAAAAAAAATAAATATTCCCTGTGTGGTTTAAAAAACTAATTATAGGGGGGTATGTATTTCACTGTAAATGTTCTAAGATAATTCAGCTTTCAAATTGAGTTTCATCACTTCTCTGTATCCCAGTGAATTAGTCCATATTTTGCATATTCTGCACTATCACCTCACATAGTTCCTCTGCACACAATTGGAATTTACTACTCTGGTCCCCATCACCTGATTGTAATAGCCAGAAGGAGAGATTAAACTTGTTCGAAGTATGGGGGAAAAATGGGAAGAGAGAGAAAACTTGAAAACCATGCAAGTGTTTGACATCTTGGGGGTGTGGTGCGTGTCTTTGCTATATTCAGTTTTGTGAAGTACATGTAGATGGTACCATGCCTCTATTTGGAGCTGCCTGTCACTGTGATCAGAAAAAATAGTCCTCACCTTACAGTTTTGTTGGCATAACTTTCTGATTTGAAGTTCCCTACGCAGGATATATTTGTATGCAGTCTGTATTTGGGGCGAGTTCGGGGAATCTTCGGTGGAAGATGTTTTCTTGTCTGCTTTCTAGGAAACATCTGATCTGTTTTGTTTGTCCATGAGTGCCTACATTTTACTGCGGGGGGGAAAAAAAAAATTCCAATGCTACTGCATTGAAACAAGGACTTAGAATTTGATTGTGTTCTTTCTGTGAGGGATAGATCCTTTACTTTTGTTGCTGTGATAGGCCTACATCCGATGAGGATTTAAAGAATCTGAAGTTAGATGGGAAGAATCCAGGCTTTTGTACATCTCTCTCTTTTAGGAAATAAGTCGAGACTGATAGGGAACTCCAGCATAATGTTTTGTGTCATTGTAGGCACCAACCAGACCACCTGCCTTTTTGGTTTTTAATATAAAACCACGTAGGGATTTTTTTTTAACCCATTTTTGTGATATGCAGGCAGTTCAATAATCTCGCTGCTCTAGTTAAACACCTTCTTAAAAAAACCACAAAACAAGTCACAATTATATTCCACCCTCGCTTCATTTGTAATGCATGAGTGAACTATCTATGGGAAACGTGTCAAACTCTGTGTCAGTCTAGCACAGTTTATGCATAATTTTCTGGAAAACAAAAATCTTGGGCAGATAAAATTTTTATCCTACTTCAAAAGCAGTGAGTTAAGAATGAGTGAATTAAAAAACAACTCTTAAGGATGTGCATTTTGTGTACTTTCAAGTTTTTGTGAATTAGATCAGACTTAACCAGTTGCCTGACTTCTCTTTTTTTCCTTTTTTTTTTTTTTAAAAAAAATTTCCCTTTAGATTCTGGTTCTTTAAATTTGCAACAGCACTTGCAATTAGTGTTGGAGCTTTCTTCATACCAGAGGGACCATTTACAACTGGTAAGGGAATATTGTCTTACAACTGCACCATGATACAGTGTAACTGGTTTTAAAACAAAGCTAAGTGTATGCTGATGTCTTAGTTTTAATTGTAGCTGTGTAACTACAGCACTTTTCTGTGTTTAGGGACATTAAGACAGGGTGGTAAATTATCTATGGTTCTGAACTGGCTTTGTTTTATTTCTCTTTTAGTGTGGTTTTATGTAGGTATGGCTGGAGCATTCTGCTTTATTCTTATTCAGCTGGTCTTGCTTATTGACTTCGCCCACTCTTGGAATGAATCTTGGGTTGAAAAAATGGAGGAAGGAAACTCAAGATGCTGGTATGCAGGTAAAGGACTGTACTACAATCAAGTTTTAAATTTCATTGTGCATTATGTTAAATAAGTTATTCACAGAGTAGTGCATTTTACCAGAGTGCAGAAAGGTTGCTTCATGCATAAGTATCATTTTCTCAGATGGTGTAGTTCAGCTCCATTGTCTAGCTGTTCTTTTGATGTATGGTTAAATAAGGAAGGGGCAGGGAGAGGGGCAGCATCCTCTGACTAATAAGGTCTAATCCCTGGCAGCAGGGAGTCAGTTTATGGTAGCAGAGAAGTGGCAATTGTAGGTTTTTTTTTTTTAGCCTCAGGTTTTCTTACACCTTAGTGCTGATTAAAAATGAACTAGCTTGTTACTGCTTCGTGTTGAGCATAAGCATCTCAAAATAACGGTTTTTTCTTTCTGTCTGTCGGTTGGTCATTCTTCAAAGGTATATGCTGAGTGAAAGGCCAAGATAGCGAAGGAGAGTACAAGTCATCTCGCTGGAGAAATGATATGTTAATTCTAATAAAGCGTTTCAGATGTGATAATTTAGGTGTTTCAAAAGATGGCACAGCCTGTCTATGTGCAATGGCCACTTCACTCTTTAATGTTTTTAATAAGATGGAATTTGGAAATAAGATTTTGTTTTTCCTTCTATTGGAGACATAGTTCTTCAGTTTCTTTTTTAAGCTTTTAGCCAAAGTGTACGTGGTGTAACTGTATTCCTTTGTACTTGCTCTTCTTGGTTGCTGTCAGAGCACTGGAGAGTCAAGTATGGTTTCAGGCTTCCCATTTATTGTGTTCTTTCTTTTTAACACCTCAGAGAGTTGAGAACTTAATTGCTTTACATTTCAGTGCCCAGAGCTGCTCTCTAATTGTCATTTTATACTGTATACAAAAGCTGATAATCATGCAATATTATTTCAATTTTAATACTCTATATTATTAACCAGTTTAAATCTTTTTTTCATCTCTCTTCACAGCTCTGCTGTCAGCTACGGCTGTCAATTATCTGCTGTCTCTAGTAGCTATTGTCTTGTTTTATGTTTATTACACTCATCCAGAAGGTTGTTCTGAAAACAAGACATTCATCAGTGTTAATATGCTGCTGTGTATTGGTGCTTCTGTAATGTCAATTCTGCCAAAGATTCAGGTATAGTTTTACTTCTGTTACCTTTTAAGGTGTGGGTTTTTTTTTGTGTGTTATCAGTCCTGGAAAGCTATAATATAACTGTGCCTGAGACTTTCAGTTGTCTAACTTTGCCGTTTTGTGACTACTTCATATAGGAATCTCAGCCAAGATCTGGTTTGCTGCAGTCTTCTGTGATCACAATTTATACAATGTATTTGACTTGGTCAGCTATGACCAATGAACCAGGTAAGTGTAGTAGCAGTATATGGCTTTTGGGGGAACCAGTTCAGCAGTAAATTGTATCTTCACCTTTTTGCATTGCAATATTAGAGTGGGGCGCTGTCATGTGTGCAAGTTAGAGGCAGGACTCATTAGTTTGTGTTTGCTCCCCCCCATCCCAACTTTCGGTAATAATACAGAAGAAATAGTTCTTCCAAAGATAACATGTTTTTCACTTGCTGTTATGTTTGTCATATGGAAGAATTTCTACCTTTTATTGGCAGGATTGCAGTATTCTAAAGCTTAGATTTTACAGATACCACGACTCTTCTAAGGTGTCTGGAAGGTTCATCTCCCTACCAGGTTTCAAGTTTTTTACCTGGCGACTGTGATACTACTGATTTATATTTTTTCCGAACTGAGGATTTTAAAAAATGTATTAATAAATGTTTTCAGTGTTTCTTGTGTCTGAAAACAGCTAAGCATCTAAAAAATTTAAATTTAAATAAATAAATTCACAGATTCTGGTGATTAAATAAACTGCCAAATATTGATTTTGATGTTTTTAGTTGGATCTCTGGCCCTTTTGTCTTAATTATGGACAATCTCCTGTGCTTCCGTGTAACAGCATACATAGGAGTCACATCTAATTCCTGCAGTAATTATGGGGAAATGAGATTGTCTGCTACTTTCCGCTGTTTCATCTGTGTTACGTGTGGATGCTGTGGGTTGGGAAATGTTGATAATACAAACTGACTTTGTAGCATTCTTTTCCAACCCTGAGATGGCTCTGGTACCCTGTCTGCACAGTATATGTTGTTTTCTAGTGGTAGAATTTCTAAAGCTTAATGTGCAGAGCATTTTTATTTTGTTGCATCTGATTATATGAGATGGAACAGTAAAGCAGTTGATGCATACCTTACATAAATTTAAAATTCTTTTATCTGCTCAGAGAGACAGATTTTTATGCCAGTTACTGTCTTTTCGAGAGATCCAATAGGCTAAAATTAGATTCAAAGCTTTTTTACTTCAAGGCTGTCACAGTCACAAAGTTCCTTCCTGTCACTGTGCATTCAGTGTGGAAAGGTACTATTAAATAGTTGTTCTGTTCTTGTTTTATGTAAGTTCTGATGTGATTTCCCCCACAGACAGGCGCTGTAATCCAAGTTTGCTGAGCATCATTGGTTACAACAGCACCACCATTCCAACCCAAGGTCAGGTAGTTCAGTGGTGGGATGCACAAGGAATTGTAGGACTGGTTTTGTTTTTGCTCTGTGTTCTCTATTCAAGGTAAGATTCCTTAAAAAAAAAAAAAAAAATCCTATTAACTTGGATTACTTCTCATTGTCAGATACAATTGTATTTATTTTGGTAATTGTACTGTGTCCTTTCCTGTCAAATACAGCATCCGAACATCCAACAACAGCCAAGTGAACAAGCTGATGCTGACCAGTGATGAATCAACACTGATAGAGGATGGAATGCCCAGGAGTGACGGCGCCCTTGACGATGGAGATGATGTTCACCGAGCCATAGATAACGAGAGGGATGGAGTCACTTACAGTTACTCCTTCTTTCATTTCATGCTTTTCCTGGCATCACTGTATATCATGATGACGCTTACCAACTGGTACAGGTATTTACGTTTGATAACATATTGTGCTAATTGTGAGCATACAAGATGCTATCTTTTGCTGGACAAGGAGGCATAAGTTGTGTGCTGTGAGGAATATAGGTCTTGAATGACACTTCTCAAGGGAAGTATACTGTTTGATCTATATTAAAAGAATTGTATTTGAAAATTGGAGTAGCCAGCCTTGATCACAAGTGCTTATCATATTTTCTAGGATAATTCTCACGATTCACTGGTCTGCTGAACTATGTCCGGTTGAAGTGAGCACGATAGATTCTTAAATTCCGTAACAACTAGAAATAAGTAAACACCAGGCCCATGTCTGGTAGAGAGAGCTGGGAAAAGGAGAGGTAGGGCATGTTATACCAGCAGGTCGAGGGAAGCGATCCTTCCCATCTACTCAGCACTGGTGAGGCCACACCTGAAGTGCTGGGTCCAGTCCTGGGCCCCCCAGTGCAAGAGAGACAGGGACAGACTGGAGAGAGTCCAGCAAAGGGCCACAAAGGTGATGAAGGGACTGGAGCATCTCTTGTGTGAGGAGAGACTGAGGGAACTAGGACTGGTCAGCCTGGAGAAGAGAAGGCTCAGGGGAGATCTCATCAATGTATATAGCTATAGCTACCTGAAGGGAGGGTGCAAAGGGGAAGGAGCCAGGATCTTCTCAGTGGTGCCCAGTGCCAGGACCAGAGGCAATGGGAACACACTGAAACACAGGAGGGTCCCTCTGAACAGCAGGAAACACTTTTTCACTGTGAGGGTGACCAAGCCCTGGCACAGGTTGCCCAGGGATCTGTTGTTGTGGAGTCTCCACCCTTGGAGACATTCAGAAGCCATCTGGGCACAGTCCTGGTTTGCTGGCTGTTGGTGCCCCTGCTTGAGCAGGGACTAAATGGCCTTCAGAGGTCCCTTCTCACCTCGGCCATTCTGTGATGGCGTCTGGTGGAAGGAAATTAGGTTGTCTGCTCCCTGAAAAGGTCCTCACAATAAAATAGTCCTCCTATGTGTGAATTGTTATTATGTTAGCAGCTTGAGCAGATGTTATTCAGAATTTAAAAATACAAATTATGGTCTCTCATAATTTTGTAAAGGGCAATTTTTATCAAAATAGCAACATTAGAAAGGTGTTCGCTTCAAAAGAAACTCTTAATGGATAGTCCTGCTGTGGATTTGATTTGTGGCCCTGCTTGGGTCAATATGACATCAAGATTATTAATTCTTCTAGGCGTTGTCTTTTGGCAAGGTAAAATGCATTATTTCTATCTATAAATGCTGTCCGTTTCCTGCCTTTCCACAGAGTTGCTTAGAGATTTCTCGTAATTATTGCTGCTTCTTGACAGCTTCTCTTACTAAATATTTTTTTGGGGTGCTGTTGCTTTCCACCTTCCTGTGACACCACCTTACAGATGGTACAATCTTGTACAAATTGGTGTGGACTGCCTGGAAGAAGGGTAGAGATGTCCTTGGAGGGGTGGAGCTGACGTGAAAATGATCTGCTCTGAAAACCACGTTGAGGAGTGGCTTACGTGTCATACATGGCCTGTGTGTCATACTGAAACAAAAATTGTAAATGATCTTTCTTTTCCTTTTTTCACAGTCCCGATTCTTCTTATGAGACAATGACCAGCAAATGGCCGTCTGTCTGGGTGAAGATATCTTCCAGCTGGATTGGCATCGTGCTGTACGTGTGGACTCTGGTTGCTCCGCTGGTTCTTACAAACCGTGACTTTGACTGAGCTGCGCTACTCTCTAGGGAGGTTGTGCTAGCTTCCCCGTGTCTTTGAAATGAATAGTATTCCAGATAATAGTGCAGTTGTAAATATGCGCGCGTGTGTGCGCACACGTGTGTGCGTGTGCTGTCCATGTAGTATACCCTGCTTTATTCTGCATGATTACCTTGAATCATGTCTCTTGTCATTTCACTAAATGACTTTTTCTAGCTGAGCTCAGTGACAATTGCTATAACGATGGTTTTCATAGAATTACTCCTGTATTGAGTGCTTCGGGAGCATTCGATGTAAGATCAAAACCTTTTGGAAGTAGGTTTGTTTTTCCCCTCAGTTGCATTAAATAGTTGTAGG